ACATGTCACTTTTTAGATGTTACCTCGCTTTTCTCTCGGAATTAAAAAAAAACGCACTTTTAAAACTCAAGTTTTGCCCTTTATAATTTTCTTTCAAAATTTGTAGTAATCGAGTTTATAAAAATTTGAAATATAAAATTTAGTATTTATTTTCTTGTACAGTATCTCCGAATGTGACATGTCACTTTTTAGATGTTACCTTTCTCTTTCTCTTTCCTCTCGGAATTAAAAGAAAACACTCACTTTTAAAACTCAAGTTTTTGTCCTTTGGTAAACGCACTTTTGTATCCCACTTTTAAGCTCTAGAACAGCGAAGTTTTCTCTGATACAGGGTATTCCACAGTCGGGCACATACGATTTGAGCACCCTAAATATATATTTGCGTGTACATACCAGAGTTAGCTGTAGTCGCCAATAGCAGAAGAATCAGGATACCACAAGTGTTAACGGGAATAGCCATCCTTTTAACTGTACCGGCCCCCTTTGGGTAAGCCTACAGAAAATGAAGTGATCATTGCACATTGCATTAGTAATTATATTAACACGTGAATTCATGCAATTAAATGTGTGTTATATTTTTTGGGAGAATATCATCCGTGTGTACAGTATTATGTTGCACTTATGTTTTTATGTACTTGGCTTTGTTATTGTATTGTTGGACACGAAATAGAAAGGATTCTGTACCTAATATACACGGAAATTTATACTGCAATTCCTTTTACTGAACTAAGTTCAGAGAAACGCGCACACAACTCGACAACCGTCTTGATATAAACCCGACGACAACTGACTTCGAATTAAGCCGCATTTTCCACTAGAACACAATTTAAATACATCGCCTTGCCTCTGCGTACAAATACGTATCTGTTTATAGTATAATATCTACATAGAAACTGTATATGTATGTGTTCGTGCTTGTCTGTGTGCTTGTATGCATATGCATGTGCGTGTGTGTATTAGTTGCTAGACGATATTCTTGATGAGCGTGTCGTCCCGTCCACTTGGGTGTCGTTCTTGTGTGTGCTACTCTCACGGTCAGGTTGCTCTCATGCATAGAAATATCAATTTTAAGCATTGAAGGGTGCGCTGCTTCTCAGCATTTTCCATTATCAGAAGAGGATTTAACGCATTCGACCCCTGCTCAGCCACTTTATCTCCACTGTATGTGTGTGTACGTATGTATGTACATATGCATGACAAGTGAGAGTGGCCGACTGGGAGATACCATGTAGCCTATTACAAATTGCAACACATACACAGACACGTCTTCATGTCGCAAGCTGACCCCCCGCCTGTTGGAGTGCCCGTGCTTCTTCTTATACCCTAAGCCTATTGAGAAAAAAAACGGTAAAAAGGTTTTGTGCAAATTTTTATAGCGTAAACTGCGCATCAAGCGGTATTTGTGAGTGTGTGTATGCGTGTGTGCGTGTGCATGTGAATGTGTATTTTTGTACGTACATATGTATTTATATTGAGGGATGCTAGAATGAAGTAAAGCTGGCTTGGGTATATCTTAGTCGAGCACACCCGACTGGAGCACTCTTACTTACCCTGCTCGACTCTTTAGAAAATGTATTTTCTAAATTATTTATGTGTTTATTGACTGAAATGAACGATAGCATTATCCAAAGCTAAAATCGAAAATAATTTCATTTTATGTGGAGTTGAGGGAGGTGGCCGAAAATTTCCTACGTACATCTATGCTTGTGAATGTGTGTACACATACATATGTATGTATGTATGTATGCATGTATTTGTATATGAATTGCAGCTTACGCCTGATAAGAAACTTTAATCGTTAATTAAAAGTTGCTTGAAAGCAAAACGCGGCTCGATAAGCGCACAAATTCTCGCTGCTCATACCTGACAGAAAAAATTACAGTTCGTAAGATTATCGCTTAAATATTATTGGTATAAGTCTGTGCATAGCGAATTTCTTGTACCTATCTCTATATAGAAAGCCGTTTATCATGGCTGACTGACCAACTGACTGACTGACTGACTGACTGACTAATTGGTGATCAGCTTTAAGCGTAAGATTTATGAAGCTGAAATTTTTACTGTTGTAGCCCTTTGTGCTGGAAGCGCACGGTAAGACGAGGTTTTGATCAATTTCATCCGCAAGTGTGAAAAAAGCGTGAAAAAGCGCAGCAGTGAAACTTTTGGTGATCAGCTTTAAGCGTAAGATTTATGAAGCTGAAATTTGTACTGTTGTAGCCCTTTGTGATGGAGGCGCACGGTAAGACGAGGTCTTGATCAATTTCATCCGCAAGTGTGAAAAAAGCGTGAAAAAGCGCAGCAGTGAACGTTTTTTGTTTGCCATCCGATCGGGCTCAAATATCAAGTTGTTCAATTGAGAGGTTTTTTACACGTTTCAGAAAGTCCATGTCTTCTTGGTCAGAACGGGGCTCAAAGATTTGTTTCTACCCACAACTATAAAATATAGCGCAAAATTATCAATATTTTTGTTTAGTATCAGATTGCTTGGATGGAAAGATATTGTCTTAAATTTGTGCCGTGCAAAGCTGGGTAACAGCCCCTAGGCCTACTTTTAAGAATCAAAGTAAATTAAAGACTTGATGGTCTCTCATCTTGTGACTTCATTTCTACCATTTCTAATCTCATCAATACAATTTAAGAAGCATTCATTTAACCTTTGTACTCACGATTGATTTTGCTTTTGTTGTTTTAATATTCATTTAATGTATTGTATTTGTTATACTAGACCGATTTATTGATTAGACTGGTATTTTCGCCCTTGTTCATTACATTTTTCCAATTTTGCACAAAAATATCTTTGGCATTCCAAAGTTTTAATACCCTTGCAGTCTTTGGCAGCATAGTTATACCAGCAAATATCGGATTTTGGACAAGAATCTACTTTTCGAGCGATCGGCAAAGAAAGCTATATGATATAGTGCTCCGATCCTGTCTGCAACAGAAAGACGAACGTATGCAACGCAATATAATTAAGAAAGTAGTTCGCATAGAAACAGACAGACGGACGGACAACTCGACTGTTGATGCTGATCATGAATATATATGTATACCAAATGGGGTCGGAGATGTGTGCTACTATGCGTTACACATTTCATCACAAAATCATATTACCCTCTACAAAGGTATTATGACGTTACAACCGATCGGATAGTATAGAGGTTTGGACTGCGAAAAACGTATCAAATAAATTCTGTAACAGATCATTGAAAATAAGTTTGAAACCTGGGAAAATGAATATGCTTTGAAAATACCAATTTTGTATTAAATGTGTTGAAAGTATCGATTTTGAAACGAAGCATATCTTGAAGATTGTGAAAACTACCGACGCCTAAGTTCTATGCAGGTCCTCGAATACAATTCACAATTACCAAAGTTATTCCAGACCGCATTTTCCCAATGTGTAGAGATGTGTGGGAAGAAGAAGCGCAGTTTCTCCATAAGGCGATTTCCGTAGTCAGTCGAGGGGTCAATCAGAAGGGTGTTACACTACCGGAGGGATAGGAGATAGGAGGCATTAAATTGGGCTAGGTAAAAACATATTACATACATTTCGATTTGTGATAGAGTTTATCCTTGAATTTCGTGATATAACCTTTATCAAAGAGGTATCAAAATCAGTCTACACTTGTGTTAAGCGTGGCCTACCTCTACTATCCGTAGATATGATATGATATGATCTCTTTTAGTCGGGAATTTACACGTATAATCCGAGGTTCAACTGTATTTAGCACGCTCTTAAAAAACCCAATGGGAAAAAGCGTTAAATCAATTGTCGTTTAAAGCTTAAAAATATTGTTTTTATTATTATTAATTATTACATGTTAATCACAAATTAACAAATTGTTGTGTTTACTGTTTACTTGTTTTTATTTAACGGCTTGGTTCTGAGCAACAGGAGTGTTAATTTGATTTTGATTTGGATTTTTATTTGTATTTTGTAATATCATAAATGTAAGTTTTTGTATTCAAGTGTCGAGAGTAATAAAGTAAAACATGCATATATGTGTGTGGATCTGTTTCATTCAGTGGGTAATGTACAGTATAATGATTAAACACAGCCACACACACACACACGCACACACTATATAGTATGTATATAATATCTATATATATATATATATATACTGACACATGCACACGCACATGCATTCGTATATATACTTAAGTACATTTCGATTAACATCATTCGATTTGCTGAAAGTTTTACTTTTTGATTTTTCGTCGAATTTATTTCATAAATTTAGCTTAGCATGACTTTTTAAAAATCGGCTCAGAATGACAAAATTTATAAGGGTATGAAAACCTTTATTCTAACTATGAAATTTTACTATCCGGCGGCATACCGAACATTTTTGTGCCTATTCCAGAACTTTATTTAAGATCAGATACATTTTTGAAGAAATACGAGAAACACAGCTCAGAATTACAGAATTAAGACAAATTAAACTCAAAAATCTGTATCTGTATATACAATTTTGTTGAAATCAAATAGTTAACAATTTTGCAGATGGGATCGGAATTGTGAAAACATAATAATAAATAAATAAAATAATAAAAGCAAAAACAACAGCAAAAGAAGAGGAGGAGAGTTTTAAGATAATTAAACTTAAAATGTGTAAGATTAAGCAATATATGCTTGAAAATTAAAAGTTGTTTATAGAATGAAAGTATTTTGTGTTCTCACAGATTAGTATTATATGGTGAGGATAGCCGATCCTGGCTGGCTCTTAAACAGATACAGACGGATATACGGATGCAGACTTGTTTTACATTTGAAGTAAATAGAAACAAAGTATGTTGATAATGTATTTAAATTCGATTGGAATAGGCATATTCTGAATATGAAACCCTATCTGACATTCTGGCTACGCTACAGCACAGCTCTACACTAATTGTCGCCTAAGAGTACTCGTAATATAAGTATTTGGTAAAGACACTTGTTGTATGTTGTTGGAATTATTACTTAATGTTATTCGCATTTGTTAATGTTTAGGTATGCATTTAGTATTTTTGTCGCTGATTTAGGCACTTTGTAAACTTTAATTCGAGATATAGATATATAAATACGTACATACATAGAATAAATACTCGTCCCCTTGACTTTAAAATTTAAATATGCCAATATATGCCAATATTACCCAAAGGTAATGTTTACATTTAAAATTTATTTAATTTTAATTGGGGCTAATTGTTTGGAGTTAATTCCAACATTCCCTTAAGTATTTAGGAGTGGAGCTATTATCTTATGATTTCAAAGGACGGCAAATAGTTAAGCTTAGTAATTCCAGTCCATTTTATCTTCGCTTTTCACAAAAAGATATACTCGAGTGCTGCAAAACAAAGTGGAAAAGATAATTAGTTCCGAGTATTTCTTGACGTGCAAAATCATTTGTGAATTCTTTTATTGATTAATCGCTTGCTTTACTTGCAAATAATATGACAAATATGAATAAATGACAAACTTTAAACTCGAATGTGTAATGTGGAATGTGGAATGTCCGTCCGCCTGTCCGTAGATCGCACAAATATAAATATATAGTCTACTAAAAATATTTCATTGTAATAGATTACAAGGTGTAAGAAATTGATTTGTTTGCCAATCATTTAATTTCCCTAATTGTTTAATTGTTTAAAAAACATTTAAGCCCACCAACTATTTTTTTTATAAATTATTGTTTTATCATTTCGTTATTTCCAAATAAGTTCTGTCACAATCATTCCGTACAAATATCAATCTTTTCAACGTGAAAGTTTTTCCTTAATTATTATTATTATTAATATTATTATTATTATTATTATTATTATTATTAATATTATTATTATTATTATTATTAATATTATTAGTATTATTATTATTATTATTATTATTATTATTATTATTTTTATTATTATTAATATTAATATTAATATTACAATGAAATATTTTAATATTAATATTAATATTGTTATTATTATTATTATTATTATTATTATTATTATTATTTTTATTATAATTATTATTATTATTATTATTATTATTATTATTATGATTATTATTATTATTATTATTATTGTTATTATTATTATTATGATTATTATTATTATTATTATTGTTATTGTAATTATTATTATTATTTTTAATATTATTATTATTATCATTATTGTTATTATTACTATTATTATTATTAATATTATTATTGTTAATTGATTGTACTTAGGCAGAGTTCTTTTTCTGTTTCATATAAAACATTATTTATGTACGATATGGAAACTTCATGTCGAAGGTTTAAATTCGCCAAGCCTCCAGCTACATATTAGAAAGGTTGCCAGTCAAACAATTTTTTTTAATGTAGCAAAAAGCTCGAAAAAAATAAACCGTTAAGCTGGCAATAACAGACAAAAAGGCATGCCAATTTGAACTAGCTGTTATGTTCCGGCTTTACCTTTTTTAAGTATTTGCTGCGAATATCAGACATCAATTGTCCACATATCGAATTAAGAAGCAAAAAGTGTAATCAACGTTTTCCGCCAAATTCCGTCGCGTGGTGTCAGGTGCAAATCCAAAAAAAAAGCTTACGCTCATAATAGCTATGTCATTATCAACCAATTGGGGTGGATTTTTCGGAAAAGTGTGAAACACGTCGCAAACGAATTTTGACGAAAGCGATTTTGAGGCCAATCGGCTGGCAATAAGAAATGTTTTGAACAGCTGCTAGTGCGGGTGAAATTACCAAAATCTGTGATCACGTATTCATTAATTCCTGAGAGTTTACAAAAAGTAAGTTGAAACTAAACTAAAACTTTGCAAGTATTTTTTTGCAAGTATTTTTTAAAGTTAAAATTCTCTTAAACTGTTTAATGTGTACCCATTCGCAAATAATAAGGGAAATGCTTTAGCAACGCCTAATAGAAGCACAAAGAAATCTGTAATATATGTAGATGCTGTAAAATGATGATGACTTACATTAAGGACAGCCGCATTCATCAACGACCATCTTGGGCAAATCACGTTTAATAATACCGTCGTCGCCGTAATATATCAGGGACATGCTTGAGAATTTAATTGGAGCACAACAGGGTCGCATGCCATTCAGCAGGCCCATTTTGCGATATTCCTCGATAAAGTGTGCGTGAAATGTTTGAAATGTGTCCGGTGTTCGAAAGGGTCCAGTGCACTCGCCTCTGCAATAATTAGCAAAATATCCCCTTGGCGCAATGATCCAATCGTCCCAGCCGAGCGCCTTAAACGACACATAAAACGATTCCTTGCAGCATTGTCCGCTCAAGGCGCCGCCGCAATCGACCGCCCGTCTTCTGACACGTCTTGGCCGAGTCGATTCAGTGTGGAGCACAAGGAATGGACGGTTCGGATTCACGTGACCCGAGGCAGTCTTCATCTTGGCATAGGCATTGGGTGCCGACCACTGGAACAGGTGCAGTGAGTATTGGCTACCACAGCCAGTGCAATCGATCAGTAGACGCAGATTTTCACCGCTTGTATCGCGGTACCATTCGCGAATCGTTTCGGTTAGATCGAACTTTTGCCAACCCAGGTGATCGGTGTCCACTTCAAAGGATGCCCGAAACAGAAAGGCCTGATCAATTGCCTGCCAATATGGAGCAGAAATTTAGTTACCAATTAGCAGCACTTCATCGTAAGTTAATTACCTTTTCAGTTATATTTATGCCCTCGGTCATTCGAAATACCCAAATTTTAATCCTTTGCCGTTGTGGATTTGCGTGGTTGTTCTTCCGTTTACCCTTCATTGTCGAATGTTGTATTTGATGCTGGGCTTCGGCTCTAGCGTCCCATTCATTCTGCTGCTGCTGCTTTTCGATGCGAATGTGCATTTGCGCACTCCTTATGGATATCTTTTGGTTTGGAACACGCGCCTTTTGAGGAGCAAACTCGACTATACGGTACTGCCGATATTGTGTTCCTAGAAAGACGAGAAATCACTTTATTTTATTAGCAGCAGGTTAGGTTAGTATATCGCTTTTTTCTATAACCTAGAAAAACTTTTAAGGGTGCTTTAGAGAGTATCTCCAAGTCGGGTACGCCCGACTAAAGCACTCTTGCATTGAATAATTTGTAATTTTATGTAGAAACGGGCTAATAATTCTTGTTTAGGATGATATCAGTTCTTCGATGAAAACAAAAGTAGACTGGCCAAAAACCGATTGGCCAAGAAACAGAAACAATTAAGTAAGAGGTCTGGTCGGGCGTGCTCGACTAGAAGATACCCTCACATCAACGCCGAGCTACCATAGCAAACACTCTAGGTTCCTTCTGTACATGCACGTACACAACAACAACAACGTGCCCGACTAGGCGATACCCTAAAACATCTTCCACCAACTCCAAATGCAGCTAAAGATAATTTATCTGTGTATACTATTCTACAATTTGGTGACTCTAGCTCTTAAGGCCAAAGGGATTTGGTTCTCAAACGTTATTTTGATAACGATATTTATCGAGTGCTCGGAAACGGGTCAAGTTATCGATTATCGGAAACAAACTCGCACACTTGGTAGACCTGAGTTCAAAGTTTCTCCAGATCTTATAGGTTCCGAGATTGACGCGTTCATACATACGGACAGACTGACATATCGAATATATATACTTAATGGGGTCGGACGCTGTGGCTGTACTAATTCTTTCCTTAGCTCCATACTATGGGAAATTCAATCGATATTATCTTCGGTGTCGATAGCCCGATCTTTTTCATGGCTTAAATATATGGCACACAAAGGCGCAAGGCTCTAGCTTTAAAATTGATTTATTTTTCATTTGGGAAGGGAATGGGAATTGCTGTATTTAACTCTAATTTTTTTTCTAGTTATGTTATATACATGCGAGAATATATATATTGAATGGCAGAGTTGAGTCAGCTCGTCATCTTGATCAAGAATACATATATATATATATATTATAGTATACATTATAGGGGCGGAGATGCTTCTGTCTGCCTTCTGTCTGTTACATAAATTTACACACGCATTATACCCTTTCTACCCTGACGAAGGCTAAATATCAACTAGAGTACTTTTCGTATTTTTTTTTTCGTTTTGCATTTTTAATTGTTTACTCTGTCTGTTGCGCTTGTTTCACACCTGAGAACAATAGTGAAAGTACTTCACCGCACACCAGTCTGCAATATCCACTCAGACGACAGCACATTACTTCCACACGTCTGTCTACATGTGTGTGTGTGTATGTGTGTGTGTGCAGGTTGTCTGGTCGGGGCCAGACAAATACATACATACACACATACATACACACTCGTCTTTGTAGATGTGTGAACTGTGGTCTGGAAGACTGTATGGCTGTAGGAGATACTTGAGTGCGCCTATGCCTCTGAGTGAGGACTGACATCTGTATCTGTAAAGGTGTCTGTCTATGCAAGCATACATACGTACAGGTGTCTACCAGCGGCTGGCAGCTCTTTTTCATGCCTCTTCAACCCACCCACCACCCACCTGCAACCGTCGCACCGTCATTGACTTGCTTGGTTTACGTATTATTTGTCTATCTATCCGTTCTCTGTTACTTCGTATGGACATACAAACATATTTACATTTGCATGTATTCCTATAATGAGTACGTATATATGTGTGTGCTAATGTGATACAGAACTTACGTTACTAATGAAAACCCTGCAAAGAATGCATACATTTGGTATTGTTTTCTTGTTTTGCAGTACAATGTGACCATCCATCCCCTCCCTGCTTGGGAAACCAACCAGACACGAGACACAACACACGAGACACAGACACGAGACACAGACGGGCCACAGTAGTAATATTCAGAGCTCAGATTCAGGGTTTTCAATGGCCAATTGTCGAAAATTGCTACGAAAAAGTAGCCGAACCTAAATCTGAGCACAAATTGACAATAATCAGCTTACAGTTCACGCTTTCAACTGTTTCCAGCTAACGATCCCTAAAATTAGTCCATTTTAGCTATAAACGAGAAAGACAGGCTATCTTCGGCACGCCGAAGATTTAATACCCTTATCTTTTCATAATGCTCATAGTGGTTTGCCCGTATCTAAGAAGCACAGGAATAGTAGTTAATGCCGAGTATGGTTAAGATATCTTGAAAAACAGAAAAGTTTTCCATACAACAACTTAATATCCGATCGATCGTTCCGATGGCAGCTATATGATACAGTAGTCCGATGTATATAAGATTTTGCATAAATGGAGGGAGCATTGTAAAACCAATAAATCCCGAGCTTGGTCAAGATATCTTGAAAAACAGAAAAGTTTTCCATACAACAACTTAATTTTCAACCGATCGTTCCTATGGCAGCTATATGATATAGTGGTCCTATGTTGATAGCCTTTTGCATATATATGAGGAGTATTGTAAAACTAATAAATGCCGAGTTTGGTCAAGATATCTTGAAAAACAGAAAATATTTCCATACAACAACTTAATTTTCGACCGATCGTTCCGATGGCAGCTATATTATATAGTGGTCCGATCCAGCTGGTTTTGACATATGTACTGCGTGTAACAGAAAGAGGCACTTCTACAAAGTTTCATAAAGAAAGCTTTGAAACTGAGGGACTAGTTCGCAGACAGACGGACATGGCTATATCGACTCGGCTTTATTTACTTTGTGCGGCCATTACTATTTTTGGGCTCTTTTTTTCTAAAATAATTATTATAAATTAACCATACCTCCCACGAATATAAAAATGCTTGGATTGTATAATATTTAGTTGCCAATACTTGTACGTGGAGTCCTGATCTTCGAAAGCTTATTACTCTGATCAAACTTTTCGGTATCTAAATGTATTCCGACTCGCAATTCAACAAAATGCTTGCCTTTGAGTTGTCGAAATATCAAACTTATCTAGCTTTGTCATCTATAATTCTATAATAATTCTCGAGGGCTTGGAAATCTAGAAATCGTTTGGTGCTTATGCCTAAATACAGAAATTCAATGGTACTTACCCTCCTCGGCAAAGGTAATAATCTCTTGTGTGCTGCCAAAGAAATCTTCGCGCTCAAGGCCGACGACATCATGATCTTGCATGGGCATGGTTGTGTGTATTAGGGCTTCTTTCTTTTTGCCTCGAGCATTATTGGGCGGCTGGTTGGGAGGTTTCTGTTTATGGTCTTTGGCATGTATCTGGACGCTGTAATCATTAAAATAAATATGATCATTGTGCTCGAAGCCGCCGCCGCCGCTTATGTCGTTATTGGTGCTATCACTATCACTACTACGATTTATATCAATAAGATATGTTGATTTTCTATAAGCATTTGACTTGGATTTCCTGTTGACACCATCCACCACCTGTTCCTCTTTTCTGGCGACTCGCAATGGTGAACTGGCCCTTGTGCCCTTTGTTTTAATTGAATCGTTCCACGACCAAGTGCCGGTATTTCTCTGTGAATGTGTTGCAGTCCTTTCGGCTGTTCGATTTCTTAATAGATTTCCTTTGTGGCTGCTCTTGGTGCTCCTACTATTAATCGTGTATGCCACATTTTTAATGGCAGAATTATTCTGATCCGTTTCCACATTGGGAGCAGTCATTGGGTGGTGGTAGTCATTGATCTCGGCAGCGGTCTGCAGCCTTTTTCGCTGATCGCTCAGGATGTCGCTATCAAAGACATCGTTGGTAACCATTTGGCCGCCGTCTGCCCGATAAATCGTCTCCCAGATGAACTGTTTGGGTAGCGGATGAGATACATTTGGTTTATGGGTGAGTCCAAGTTTCGTTAGGATTTGTCGCTTTATCGACTCCAACCGAACCCGGTCGCTCAGCCCAATATTGTTATGGTTTCGATTAGTTTTCTTATAGATGTAATTGTTGTTGTTGTTGTTATTGTTGTGGTTATTGTACTTGTCATTGTTGTTGTTGTTGTTGTAGTCTGTGTGTGGGTTATCTGTGTAAATGTGGACAATTGTTAAGTGTTTTGTAAGTATCAAAGTTGTATGGATTCGTGTTGTAAAATTGTGTACATATTAGAGATGGGCGCGTGCCTACTATTTTCGGCTCTAGCACAAGGCGTGCACTTGAAAAAAAAAATGCCTACGACTGCACTGGCATAATTTTGGAAATTCCCCAAAAAAAATACTTGAGTACACTTTTCTATAAATATTTTGTACACTTTTGCAAAAGTTATTCTCATTTTTCTGCTATTTATTTGCTGCGATAGTTGAAGATTAGCTGCGATATTCAGTTGTAGCCGTCGTGCCCATCTCTAGTGCGAATACAATGTTAACAGTGTGTTGTTCTTATTTTGCGCGCCGGCAAATAACTGTAGTCGGATATATCCGACTTTAAACATACTGCGTAATTGCTTAGACTTGATATTACCATGGGAAAATCAGTAATCTATCTGGAGATTCTAATTAAAAATGTATGGATGCCTTTTCCTAAAAGTAGCGTTCAGACGGACTGTTCAGATCTTTTCGGCTCTCTTTCTCGTGTACACTTCTAAAAAAATCTTCACTGACCTATTAGCTATAAGTAGGGACAGAGCTGGCCAGACAGGTTCAAGTTCTGTCCCCCATATAATATTTTCTTCATTTAGGGGCCCCAATAAACCGCAAGGGCTAATGTTAATGTGATTTGTTTTATAGTGCTTTTATAATTTAATAAAATTAAAATATATTATTTTTAATTAAACTTGAGAATGCTTTATCTCGTATAATTTTTGCTTTAAATTTACAATTTCTTATGACGTCACTGACAAAAAAGGCTGTGAATAGGGGCGTAGCTGGGCACACTCGTTTTATCGCCCATTTATAAATAAACAAATAAACAATTAAAATAAAAACAATCAGATTTGAATAAAGCCAATTTAATAATGTGGAATTTGATTTGTGGCATGTAAATACGATGGGTCTTGAAATGAGAGACTTACGCTTATCGCTGTAAAAATTGCCCTCCTCAAGCTGGCACAAAGTGCAACCCTTCTGTGTGACCAGACTTGAAACATATCCGCCGCTACTCGCAATGGCATTGCAGTTGATCAGCTTAACCTCAAGCCAAAACAGACAAATTAGCAGCCACACTAGATTCGCACGGTTGCGTTTGGCTTTAGAAAAATGGCGCATTGTGCCGTAATTGCTGCTCGATGGCCATGATGAGACGAAAGTCTTTAAAGACGACGACGTCGAATTTCGCGTACGTATTTTTGCTGTTACTGTTGCTGTTGCTTTTGCGCTGTCTCCTTCTCGTTCTCGCAGCACTTGCAGACTTGGCAGAAATATGCTACTATCCTGATATTGTTGCATTTTGCTGCTGCCGGTCTGCTGTCTGCTGCCGTTGTTGTTGTTGTTGTTGTGCCTGCGCCGTCGGCGACGGCGACGCCGACGTCGTCTTCTCTGCCTCTTGCGATTATTGCAAAACATCTTACACAGGTTGTTCGTCTTCAGCTGTTGGTCATTCGTGATGTCATAGGAAGCGTGACCGTGCCCATACTGTTCCTTCAATTTGCCGTCTCCATTGCTGGCCGGCGTGCTGTTAGGCGTTGCTATGGAGCTCGGTGCAGCTATTTGGTGGCCCATCTTATACAGCGTTATGTATCTGGTCATCAGCGCCAGGAGTGCAACCATCCATTGACGGGCAATTGTGACGACCACGCCAAGTACCATTATGGCCGCCACCTGAATGCAGGCATTCGCCTTGAGCCGCGGCGCTGACGCACAGAGGCTGCCGCTGCCGCTGCTGCTGCTGCTGCTGCATGTTGTGCAGCATATCAGGCTTAGGTTAGTGCAGCTGCAGCAGCATACTAGAACGCAGCAGCCCTGTCGGCAGCAGAAGCATGGACAGTTGTAGATGCATTTGATATCCTTGGCTCCTGTTGCTGCTGCTGATACAATCGGCTGCTGTTGCTCAAAGTCGAGTCTCATTGTCATTTTTGCAGCGCCTACTCCATGATTACGTGCATATTACGGCATCCACTTTCTCAATGCGCAAATTCGTTTACTGCATTGAATAAAGACATACCTTCACAAGCATAAATTATAAACAATATTAGTTATAAACAACATGTATCTTTGTATTTGCCCTGCTCAACCTGCTTTCTGTCGAGCGAATCAAATTCAAATTTCTTCAACCCGTGATATTTGAGTTGCAGCAGAAAAACGGAGTCGGTCGAATCGATCGGGTTCGCTTCAAACTCGATTTCAGCTGTGTTCGAGCCAATCGTAAATGCATCCATCAAGTTGCGTCTCCGTTTGGCTCGAACATGTTGCTGACTTGAAAAGGTTGCACTTCATTTGTATGATTGTCTGGGGTAATGGCTGAATCGTTTATTCTAACACTCCTCATCTCAATAATCGGAAGCTCGAGTCTGATTGAGTTTGGGAAAATTAAAGGTCGTATGTTTCACGTTAAAAAAACCTGCAACTTTTTACATACATGACCCATATTTTCCAACCAGGAGGGCTGGATTTGCCAAAAAGTGTAAGCAAAAGATATTTGCAAATAAAGGTAAAGTCGATCGGATGGAGAACAATAAACTTTAATACACCTGTGCTCCGGATATTTACCACAGAGGTCTCGACATAAACTTTGGAGTCATTGCATCCAGTTTTATACGTCAAACTGTGACCATTGATTAATGTCGAAAGAAATCTTTTCGTTTGCAAAAAAAAAAAGCTAGAATGTTCGGAAGAACATGATGGGTTTGGGTTTCAAAAAGTATTTATTTTGGGAAAGGGAATATAGCCTTTCGAGGGTATGTAACAACTGTAAGGAGGCACAACCGACCCCATAAAGCAAAGCTTTATTTATCAAAAAATCAAAGCCGATTTATCATGTAAACAATGTAAAAAGATATCGAAGTGTTGCCTCTATGTCTTCTATAATTTAAGGACACAAGACGAAATTTGGTTTGCACCCGACACTACACACAAATAAATAAATAAGCAAATATAAGAATATCAGAACTTAAGATAAAAGACAAGATATGAACGAGAGTTATTTAGTCAGAAATGTCCGAATAGGAGATACCCTGAATCCCGCGCTAAGCTAGTTTTACAAACACTCTCGCTTCCTTCTATAAATCTTCTTCTTACATCCCTCAGCCCCCAAATAAAATGATCTTGAATAACTTTTTAGCCACTTTTAATGGAAGAAGACTTTGATTAAAAATGAAAAACATTCACAGTCAAAGAGAGAGAGAGAGAGAGAGAGAGAGAGAGATGTGGGGTTGCTTCAAGCTTTAAAATAAAACACGACAAAATATTGGCAAGAACTAAAATAATTGTTGCAAAATGTAACAAAAAAACAATTATTATTACAATTTAGTCGATATGTCCTTTTGATTAAACCGATATCTATGAGATTTGGAATTAAGTTTACCAATTTTCGGGCAACATTTGGTTTTGGGATGCATTTTATTGCCTAGAATGACAGGTTCTTGCAATAAAATAATTACTACAAAATAAGATAAATACTAAAATAATAATAAATTATAATAATAATGATGAGATATTAGACAAAACTGACAATCAAATGAGATAAACTAAATTGCCAATACTTTCCTCCTTGACTGTGTGTATGTACTTGAGTATTTGTGTAAGTACACGAACAAACAAACATACACACACACATACATACATACATAGATACGTATAGATTATGTTCATATAGTAGAAACCATTTGTAACGACTGACAGACAAAAGGATGCGACGAGACGACGCCAGCAGCGACCAATATAAAAGCCAGCTGGGGCTGTGGGTTAAAGAAAGAGCAAGAGCGGGACACAGCGAGGTCCACAGCCAAAGCGGCAATCAAATGAATTGGAGAGTTTCTAAGCTTTAAGCTATGATGACACAATCTATTTGCCTCACAAATTTTCAAGATTTGCAATTGCCCTGCCATAGAGAACTACTATTTAAATTTCCAGCACAAGTGTTGCCTATTATATTTGATTTTTTTTATTTCGCAACAAAAAACATACTACACACAAAGTTATGGGAGTGTAAATTGCGGTTTTTCTTCATTTTGGCATTTCGCAACACACAACAAAATTGCGGGAAACATTTAATTTTACAACCCAGCCTAACGATTAACAATGTATGTACGTATGTATGTATGCTATGCATGTATGTAGGTCTTACATTAATAGTTAGTTAGTGGCAGACAAACTAATATTGCAGCTTAAATAGTTGCCCCAAGCTAGTATCTGACAATCATGTAATAGCGACTAATATTATGATTATTTAAATCCAAAAACCATAAAAGTTCTTTGTTTACGAATATGTCTGTGGACATGAGTAGATATCTACATACTTATTCAGACTTACACACACACACACACACACACATAATCACTGCTTAAGCATTGGAGACACTTCGTCTGGAGCACATTTATTGGAGATGGAGTGAAATTCGATTGTCAGCCAAAACTGGCAAATTCGCCAAGCTCACATACACACATACATACATTCAAATACATAGTTGTGTACATAAGTAATCGTCGGTTTTGATGTGTATGTGTGTTAAAAATACATAAGTGAATGTGCATGTGTATCTGCACATATGAATACATACATATCCATGTTGTGTGTTGTCTCCTTCATATGCATGTACATATGTACATATGTACTTCATTTAATTGTGCTTGGTAGGTTTTCTAAGTCTTTTAACTCATTGGTGTTATTTATTTAATTTATTATGCATAAGTAGTAAGAATAAATTAGTTTCTTTTGTTTTCTAGAACATTTGAATTTTTTAAATGTGCTATAATAATATATGTATATATTATATATATGTATAATTTGTAATGTTAAAAATATATTAGATATTTTGGATATTTTTGCTGTTTTGTCGTTAATTGTTACTTGAACCGATCGAAGCCGTTTACTTAAAAAATACAATTAGCACACTTTTAATTTCTAATTGAATTCATAAAATAAACTGCCGAATTTATTTAATTTATGTTAATTGGCACTTTAAAAAACGTTAACTATTTATCTGTCACCAAATTGTGACAGTTGCAGAGCAAGTTTCTTTGCGAAATAAAAATAACGTTTATTCCGCTCGGTGTTAACGGACTAAATGAAAATTGAAAAACGAAAACACGCTTACGAGCGAAAAGGCAATAGTATTGTATCAGCTGGTACAGTATACGCTCGATATGAATACTCCTTAACATTAACTTTAAGCTAGGAATAAGAATATTTATTTGGAAACTATTATTATTTTTTTTAATTGGAAATCCAATTTGAATGTTTATTAAAGATAAATAATCGCAAAATGTAATATTAACATGTTTGCTTGATATTTTCTATGTATCCATTTTATCCATGCTATTTGCCTTAAATTTATATCGATGTAGATATCAGAAGTGTTGAGAACGGCAATTAATAATAATAATGCCAGGTTAATAAACAAAGTTTGATAACAGTTTCTTACACCGAGTTACCACTGTGTATAAAATGTACTCTTTCAGGTTAACGGAAAACGAAGCGAACGAAATTACATTGGCCACATATCAGCTGGTCGCATATATTAAAGGAGAGTGCTACTCGACAAAAGCTCACTGCTACGAATCTACGAAAGCCCTAGCCAATATTCAAAAACTGGCCACCCTTTTGTTCGATTAAAAAAAAAGATGAAGAACGAGACAAGCGGGTGGCCCACAGTTAACTCAATCAATTTGCATAATTTGTTTTTGCTTTTCGCGCCAAACTCTGACAAAAACCGACAGCTTATATTATGTTTTGCTTTTACGTTCTTTGAGATATAGAATGGGTACATATCTACACGCCCATGCGTTTGGCGGGCACCTTATTGCTTCTCGATTCAAACTTTGTTGTTATCCACTATATATTTTAAAACTTGCCGCAACATAGTGTTTTTTCGGCTCAAACTTTGGCCACACTGCTTATCAAAGGAATTGCTCATTTAAATGCATGCCCTGCTGTGCAGCCCTGGTCACTATCGATATAAACCACATACGATAATTTATTATTGTTCGCGTTCGTTTTGCTTCGTGCTTTAAATAATTCAAATTCGTACTTTTTGTTGTTCCCACACACAGGAATGGCAACAAGTGCTGCGACTATTGCAACACATAGGTTGCGGTCAATTAATATAGTCAAAATATTGATGTTGTGGGCCGCATCTTACCAGGAAAATTCGCTCCGTGGCAGAGCAAGAATCCCTTTGCACATTGCACTGGGATCTGCGCGGGTAAATGTCTATTCGTATTGTCTTTTCCAGTTGTTGCCCGTTTATAAACTTGTCTTTGTTTGCTTGCAGAAGGCGCCACACAGAGGTCGGGCAGCTGCTTTGCATGACATCAAATGGAGTCACAGACGTGGGACGTACGTTGGCCACAGTCAGTCGAGAAGGCACCGTCAAATAATTTAATGAGTGAAATCGCAGCAATGCTGAGAAGATTAATAAGCAAACAATCCGGCTGCATAGGATATTTGTCAAAGGAGGACACCACTAATGCTGGATTTGAGTCAGCAACAGTTGCAGGATCATGGCTTGCGCTGCGGCTCATTTCACGAAACTTGTCAGGACATGTTAGAAGAGCGGCGCAGGCTGCATTTAGCCATATATCCTGCCTTGTTAAGGTAGCGCTGTCCGCTGGCCATGGCCAATCTAAAGCGGAATGGCACACCCTTCGATCTGCATTCCACATTGGTGCAGTTGTTATATATGCTCAATCTGCGGGGCGCGGAGCTCAGGGATAAACATGACAAACATAACCTGATTCAGTGATTTTATTAAATTCAACCGCAACTGTGGCAGGGCGGAGAATGGGTGTTGAAATCTTGGACCGGGTAAGAATGAAAGAAAATCTGTAGACAAAGATTGCAATTTAGTACAATAAGAATATCTTAAGGTAGCGTAAGCTGATAAAGTCGCAGTCCACAGAATTTTATGTTTGTT